CAGCGAAGCAGGCCAGGGCTCATGCCGCCTGATCATCACTTTGGTTAGAGCATGTGGGGAGGGGGGTGTCAGTTAAGGGGGCTGCGTACAGACAGAAGCTGGAGGGGTGAATGCTTTTGCAGTAGAACGGCTGGGAAAGGTCAGCTCAGGGGAGCCTCCAGTGCAACAGGTGCCGGTCAGGGTACTCCACGTGCCCAGCTCTATTAGGACGGGAGGGCTGCAGCTGCCGTCCAGCGCAGCATCTGCTGGAGCAGCACAAAGGTTCCTTCTCTTCGTTCCCAGACTCTCCTCCTCTATTTGATCTATCCACTCCCCACTACAGGAGCTCCCATCTGAGCACTCGTGGGGCGAAAGGATGGGCCTTGAGGACGGCGTCCCACCCCCTCCTTCCAGCGAGGCCGTGGCTCAGAGATCTCTCTCCAGGTCCGTGTGCAGCATTGCCAGGCATGAGAGCCCACGGGGACCTCCAGCTTCGGAGCAGCCACCTCCTAGCTCCAGGGAAGCTTCGATGCTGCTCAAGATGGATCCAGTGTAGAAGCAGCACCTGAGGCTGCCTGAACGTCATTTGAAAGCAGTGCTACCAAGCACCAGAGGCAGCGTGGAGACCTGCTAGCTCCTGCTCCCTGGCCCTGAGCACCAGAAGCCAGGAGCAGACCGGACAGGGGAGACTTCGCTTTTAGAGCCTCGCTCCTCCCAGGTGCTGCAGCTCTGTGTTGGTCTCCCAAAAGGCAGAGCTTTCTCCCTGGCGAGACTCCATGCATATTTGTTTAAGGTGGTGTAGCTCCAGGACATGGGAGTGGAAAGGCTGCAAGGGGAGACCACGCAGGCAGGGGCAGAACCTGGCAGTGTCAGGAAGAGCTGCACCCTTTGTCACTGGGGAGCTCGGCCTGGGACTCCAGTAAGCTGGTTGCAGTCCTGTAGTCAGCCTCTGAATGGCTGAGGACGACCCTGCCAACACCCCAGCATTGGTCCTGCTGCCACCTGCCTGCTGGGCCTTCGGGTCCCTTCGCTGGGCAATACTGAACCTACCAGCAAGACCTCCAGCTGGCTGTATCAGGCTCCCTGCAGCCCCGCAAGTCTCCAAGAAGATACTGTAACAGCGTGTGCACCCATCACACACGCAATAGCTGTTTGGCTGTACTATTAGCAATGCACAGTCGTGCCCTCCCTCCCCCCGGCACCAGTT